TTTGGTAAAAAGTGATATTTTCGACTTCTTGTTAAAAACCGCAAGTCCGATTGCTTTGATATTACATATATAGGTACTACATGTGGACCTCTCTCAGATTTGTTTATTTTGTGATGATATCTTCAATTCTCTAATTTTGGTGAATATTTTTGTAATTTTTGGTAAAAAGTGATATTTTCGACTTCTTGTTAAAAACTGTAAGTCTGATTGCTTTGATACTATTCATATTGTTCATTTTCTAATCATGTCTTCAGTTCTTTAATTGAAATGTGCATTGCTAACAGCGGAGCTATCTCAGCCGATAGGCTGCTTGTTTGGAAAGTCTGATTGCTTTTCATAAGTCTGATTGCTTTGATACTATACCGTACATATAGATATAGACCTCTCAGATTTCTTCTTTTTCTAATATCTTCAGTTTTTTAATTGAAATGTGCATTGCTAACAGCAGAGCTATCCTACCAAAATTTTAGACAGTACATTTTTTATGCAAAAATTTGTGTAGATATATTGTTTGTATAACAAGATATTTTTGCATTTACCATTTAGGTCTTGTGTCAGCTGATCGTATAATATCCAGCTCCCCTAGTCGTGAATGTCTTACAGAAATGGGGGTAAGTTTTCTTAGTGTAATTATGAATTGAGTAGGCATGGAAATGTTCAGATTGAATGTTTGATCATTTGGTGGGGGAGGGGTTGTCTGGGTTAACCACCCTGATCTGGGATTCCCTATATAGGCACTACATACCATCCCGTTCACATATGTTTATGTACATAGCTGTGAAATTCTGTGATTTGGAAGATGTTTAGAAAGCGTGCTTATTCATGGTTTTCTTTTGGTATTCTAATAGAAATTGTTCAAATTAACATTTGTTTACTTGTCATGCATGGCTAAGGAAAGTGTTTTGTAATCATCTTGTATATTACAAATGTTTTTGTTTTTTTGTTTTTTTAGAGACTTGGTGTGAGAACAACATACGACAACATGGATGCTGTAAAACCTAGTAATATTGTTTTCCTCGCTGTAAAACCGAACATAATGCCGGCAGTTCTTGATGAAATTGCTCCAGTTATCAATGAACGACATCTTGTAGTTTCGCTAGCTGCTGGCATTACAATTGATTTTTTAGAACAGGTGAGAATTAGTGGGTTTTTAGCTCCGCTGTCGACTTTGTCGAGCGGAGCTTATCATATGAGTGATTGTCCGTCGTCGTCCGTGTCAATGTTTACTTTTTCGACTTCTTTTTGAAAACTACAAGCCTGAATGCTTTGATACTTGGTTTATATGTACCTTGGGTAGACCTCTCTTAGGTTTGTTCATTTCATGTTGATATCTTCAATTCTCTAATTTTGGTGAATATTTTGGTCATTTTTGGTAGAAAGTGATATTTTCGACTTCTTGTTAAAAACTGTAAGTCCGATTGCTTTGATACTATACATATTGTTCATTTTCTGATGTCTTCAGTTCTTTAATTGAAATGTGCATTTCTAACAGCGGAGCTATCTCAGCCGATAGGCTGCTTGTTTTTTAAAGAAGTGTTTATATTTTAAATTACATTTGGAGACAACCAATTACACAATGTGTGGATATGATACGTTTTACTTGTTTAGTATATTGAGATTATACTATTTATAATTTCAGAAACTGCCAGCTAATGCAAGAGTGATTCGTGTGATGTGCAACACTCCTTGTATAGTGGGGGAAGGAGCCACAGTGTTCTCCAGAGGATCAGCTGCAAAACAAACCGACTCTATCATTGTTCAGAAATTTTTTACAAGTTTAGGATTTTGTGATGAAGGCGATGAGTCGATACTTGATGCAGTTACGGGAGTCAGTGGAAGTGGGCCAGCATACGTAAGTATCTTTTAACCAAATTTGTCAGCAAACTTACTAGGTGATAAAAGTAGTATCGCAGATGTACGAATCATTTGCCTGGACATAATGTATGAAGGCAGAAGAAAAAGATCATTTGCTGATGGCTGTTTTACTTGTATCAAAGTCGCACAATCCAGAACTGAACATTCATGTATGCAGACGTATCTTAAAAGTACATTATTAGCATAAATTGCCGAGGCTGGAACAATGGTGGCTCAGCATAGACAATCTGAGAAACATAGTTTGAGATCACATTTTCCACCTTTGGTTATAGAAAACACGAGTCAAGCCTTGCAAATGTGAAACAATTGACTAAACTAACTTTTCATGTAATTGCGATTTAAAAGCTGTTTATATCCTTATTGCATAGCCACCATTGTCCAATATACCCCCCCCCCCCCTCCTTCCCCCTTCGTGTGCAGGTCACAAAGAGAATCTGTCATACTGTGAAATGACTAAATTTAACTGGGTTTAAATTTCGCTGATTTACCATTTTCAGGCATATTCAGTGGGTTTCAAATTCACGGTTTTATCATTTAGATAATGTGTTCTATGCTAAAAACTACATATTCACTGGGTTTTAATTTAGTGCCTTTTTCAGTCAGTGAAATAAGCAAAATTAAAACACAGTGAATAATTAATCCTTTTACAGTAGTTCGTAATAAACTGCAGGCTTCACTATATGATTTCAGAGTGTTCTGTCAATACCCAAGTTTGCTAAATTTAGTTAAAACTTAGTACATTATGGAGTTATGTAGTTAAATCTTGAACACTATGTTGGAATTAATCTACCTATGCTAATTAGCGAAATTGTTTTTAACAGTATTAGCAAGCAGAAACATTTGTTACAGGAAACAAACAAAAGATACTGAATTTACTTTACTTGGTAGCACCTCCCAGCATCTCTCATCTGTATTCAAATTCAATAATTTACCCAGTGTTTATCAATTTAGTGCATATTTTAAATAAGATTTGTTTTTGTAGGCATTTTGTGCTATTGATGCAATAGCAGATGGTGGTGTCAAAATGGGGTTGCCTAGGCATCTATCAATCAAACTAGCTGCACAGACATTATTGGTAAGTAGAAAAATATTTTCAATTTATGAGGCCACACTGATTTAATTTTATGGATGACATCCTCTGAAGACCCCAAAACTAATGCGAGAGGGCGAAGAAGAAAAAATTCGGCCAAAAAAAAAATGCTGCTAAAACCACAGGACTACGGAGCTATTATTACGAATTTAACCAGTGTATCAAAAAAAAACAAGTCTTTATTTGTAAGAGGCACATGCTGATGTACACATTTCGTACTGTATTACTGTCACAGGTATCATCACCTTTGATTTTGAAAAGGCAAGAGGATAAGGCAGATGTTAGCTTTGCCAAAGGCATATACATCAACTCAATAATAAAGAAAAACTTACTGGTGTTGTATTGAAAAAAAAATAATTAAAAATGAACAATAAGTTTGTCAACAGCAACCTGGAAATTAACTTCTTTGACATTCTAACTACAGCTTTTAAAGTGACACTTCAGATAGACTAAGTGTAGACACAAATGCTCTAGAACTACTTTGACTCTGTAACAAATAAGAGGCTCGATATTGAAAAAACAAACAAACAAACAAACAAACAAACAAACAGTCAACAAAAATTTGGATGCAGAAAATTATGTACATGTATCTTGATGAAAATGCGTCGTATGATCAAAATATTACTGAATGTGTGTTTTATCCGAAATTATCCGAATTAGAAAATGAAAAAAAAATAATAAGAAACTTTTCTTCACCCCGTAAGGGGACTTCGGCCAAGGAGCTTCTGCTGCTTTTGTTGCCATTTTGTTGACTTCAATGCAAACAAAGCAACCGAACTGATTTGTCGCCTGACCGACTTTTAGGCCACCATACACTTCCACTCCTCTCCCATCCCATTTCTCTCATCATTGCAGAAGAAACGCGGGACAGCCATTCTGGACAATATGTTCTCAAAGTTGTCTGGGCGAAACTCGCTTGCCACTACTGACCTCTCATATAGCTGTGTAAACGTCTCCCTGGCCAATGTCAATTGCGTACCAGTCTACAACAATCCCTCAGTTTCACCTCTGAACTTTTATGCTCGCGTATTTTGGTGGTGTGTGGTCGCCATGTTGGATCATTTATGGCAAAATTTGCACGTTGTGAGGCAATCTCTTTCCCATAGGTATTTGCGCTTTACGTAACGCGCATCTAACTGTGCGGAGTTTGGTTTTGAGGTAGTCCAACACTAGTTTTACGACAAGTCGGCGCTTTGCGACAATAAGAGTCGGCAAGTTTCGGACAGAAAACCGATATGTGGAGACTCATCGTAGGAGATTTTTTTTTTTTTTTTTTTTTGAGAACAGGCAAAAACTAATGTGCGCGCGGATGTCATCCTTAAAATTAATCGGTGTAGCCTGATGTCGCTCACTTATTAGAAATTTGCTATTGATTACTCAATGTCAGCACCAAAGTAAAATTACCATTTGGAAATGCAACTTTTTTCTTGGCATACCATTGCATGACAAAATAGTGTGAATATTTTTGCACTTGTATTCAATATCTATGTAGGTCATTCTTCTAGTATTCGAATACACTCCATTCACAACCAATCAATCCTACATGTGGACTCGGCAAATTCCATACAATTTCACACAATTTAAGTATATCTATTCAGTTCTTCATGTTATCTAAAGTCATGCATTTCTTTTACAAAGATGAGAACTGACATTTATGTGTTTCGTCAGTTTAATACTAGGCCAAGATGTCATTTGTAGTACCACACAGAGTAAAATAATAAAATGCAGGGCAAGAGTTCCTTTTGTACCCCCTAACCCTCACTCCCAGTTACCCAATTCATTTGTATATGCCCCCTCTGGATAACTATATAGATGTACAATTACCGTTAAAATCCTATTATAAACCGCATACCTAATAGTAACCGCACCCCCGATTTTGGCTTCAGTGTTAAAGGGTTCTCAACAAAAATTTTAAACATGAAAAGTACCTATTACTAACCGCACCCCCAATTCAACAAGAACGTGACCGACTT